AGTCAAACAGAGGCGTACAGAAAAAAGACCAACTGTTCTGAGCAGCTTACAATCTAGGCTCACTATCGCCGTCACTTTTCGGGAAATTTATTTTTTGACCAATTTTCGCATTTTTTATAAGGGGTTACATCATCTATTTTTGCGAAAAATCGTCAAAAAATAAAGTTTTAAGGTTTGATCGCCAATCGATTGGAAATTTAATTACGAGCTCAACGAGGTATGGCACTCCTTATTCTGACCCTTTTTCGCTTTATGGTGGCCAAAAAACTGCTTCTTTTTTGTGCAAAAAATGATTATTGTTATTTTGCTCAAAAATATCGTTTTTTGTAGCAGTTTTTTGGTCATAATATAGTCAAATAAAGGCGTACAGAAAAAAGACCAACTGTTCTGAGCAGCTTACAATCTAGGCTCACTATCGCCATCACTTTTTGGGAAATTTATTTTTTGACCAGTTTTTGCATTTTTCATAAGGGGTTACATCATCTATTTTTGCGAAAAATCGACAAAAATTGAAGTTTTCAGGTTTGAACGCCAATCGATTGGGAATTTAATTAGAAGCTCAACGAGGTATGTATGGCACTCCTTATTCTGACACTTTTTCGCTTTATGGTGGCCAAAAAACTGCTTCTTTTTTGTGCAAAAAATGACGATTGGGATTTTGCTCAAAAATATCGTTTTTGTAGCTGTTTTTTGTTCATAATTTAGTCAAACAGAGGCGTACAGAAAAAAGACCAACTGTTCTGAGCAGCTTACAATCTAGGCTCACTATCGGCGTCACTTTTTGGAAAATTTATTTTTTGACCAATTTTTGCATTTTTCATAAGGGGTTACATCATCTATTTTGCGAAAAATCGTCAAAAAATAAAGTTTTCAGGTTTGAACGCCAATCGATTGGAAATTTAATAACGAGCTCAACGAACTATGGCACTTCTTATTCTGACCCTTTTTCGCTTCATGGTGGCCAAAAAACTGCTTCTTTTTTGTGCAAAAAATTACGATTGGGATTTTGATCAAATATATCGTTTTTTGTAGCCTTTTTTGGTCATAATTTAGTCAAACAGAGGCGCACAGAAAAAAGACCAACTGTTTTGAGCAGCTTACAATCTGGGCTAACTACCGCCGTCACTTTTCGGTAAATTTATTTTTTGACCAATTTTTGCATTTTTTATTTTTGCGAAAAATCGTCAAAAAATAAAGTTTTCAGGTTTGAACGCCAATCGATTGGAAATTTAATTACGAGCTCAACGAGGTATGGCACTCCTTATTCTGACCCTTTTTCGCTTTATGGTGGCCAAAAAACTGCTTCTTTTTTGTGCAAAAAATTACGATTGGGATTTTGATCAAAAATATCGTTTTTTGTAGCCTTTTTTGGTCATAATTTAGTCAAACAGAGGCGTACAGAAAAAAGACCAACTGTTCTGAGCAGCTTACAATCTAGGCTCACTATCGCCGTCACTTTTCGGGAAATTTATTTTTTGACCAATTTTCGCATTTTTTATAAGGGGTTACATCATCTATTTTTGCGAAAAATCGTCAAAAAATAAAGTTTTAAGGTTTGATCGCCAATCGATTGGAAATTTAATTACGAGCTCAACGAGGTATGGCACTCCTTATTCTGACCCTTTTTCGCTTTATGGTGGCCAAAAAACTGCATCTTTTTTGTGCAAAAAATGACGATTGGGATTTTGCTCAAAAATATCGTTTTTGTAGCTGTTTTTTGTTCATAATTTAGTCAAACAGAGGCGTACAGAAAAAAGACCAACTGTTCTGAGCAGCTTACAATCTAGGCTCACTATCGGCGTCACTTTTTGGAAAATTTATTTTTTGACCAATTTTTGCATTTTTCATAAGGGGTTACATCATCTATTTTGCGAAAAATCGTCAAAAAATAAAGTTTTCAGGTTTGAACGCCAATCGATTGGAAATTTAATTACGAGCTCAACGAACTATGGCACTTCTTATTCTGACCCTTTTTCGCTTCATGGTGGCCAAAAAACTGCTTCTTTTTTGTGCAAAAAATTACGATTGGGATTTTGATCAAAAATATCGTTTTTTGTAGCCTTTTTTGGTCATAATTTAGTCAAACAGAGGCGCACAGAAAAAAGACCAACTGTTTTGAGCAGCTTACAATCTGGGCTAACTACCGCCGTCACTTTTCGGTAAATTTATTTTTTGACCAATTTTTGCATTTTTTATTTTTGCGAAAAATCGTCAAAAAATAAAGTTTTCAGGTTTGAACGCCAATCGATTGGAAATTTAATTACGAGCTCAACGAGGTATGGCACTCCTTATTCTGACCCTTTTTCGCTTTATGGTGGCCAAAAAACTGCTTCTTTTTTGTGCAAAAAATTACGATTGGGATTTTGATCAAAAATATCGTTTTTTGTAGCCTTTTTTGGTCATAATTTAGTCAAACAGAGGCGTACAGAAAAAAGACCAACTGTTCTGAGCAGCTTACAATCTAGGCTCACTATCGCCGTCACTTTTCGGGAAATTTATTTTTTGACCAATTTTCGCATTTTTTATAAGGGGTTACATCATCTATTTTTGCGAAAAATCGTCAAAAATTAAAGTTTTCAGGTTTGATAGCCAATCGATTGGGAATTTAATTACGAGCTCAATGAGGTATGGCACTCCTTATTCTGACCCTTTTTCGCTTCATAGTGGCCAAAAAACTGATTCTTTTTTGTGCAAAAAATGACGATTGGGATTTTGCACAAAAATATCGTTTTTTGTGGGTGTTTTTTGGTCATAATTTAGTCAAACCGAGGCGTACAGAAAAAAGACCAACTGTTCTGAGCAGCTTACATTGTAGGCTCACTATCGCCGTCACTTTTTGGGAAATTTATTTTTTGACCAATTTTCGCATTTTTCATAAGGGGTTACATCACCTTTTTTTTTGCAAAAAAATTTTTTCTTAGGCTAACGATACCCATTGTTCTGTTATTAATTTGTATTGTACTGAGTAGATTTCTGGAATGTGATGGTTTTAATTTGCCTTATTATTTACATAATAGTTGTTGTTTACTTTGACCACTGTGCAAAGTCAGTGCAAAAATGGCAAAGGGCACGTTTGCTAGTGAAGCGGACAAGTGTGTCCGCCCCTCCCTTGACTTGATTGATTTGCATAATTGGCAGACTCGGCGACAAAGTGGATTAGAGTCGTCCGCCCAGGCACAGAATACACACTCGAGATTTACAATTTGGCCTTTTCTATTGCCAAAAAAAACACATTTGGGCGAAGGAAATTGAAGCGAAAATAATTAACCTTTCAGTTTTAAACGAGTCAGCCAGCAAACGGAATGTGCGACAAAGAGAATGGGTAAAATTTACATGTATATTTATGACATTTGCGTTTGATTAACAAAACAATACGTTCTAATAACCCTATAAGGGATTTGGAAAACGGTGTAATTAATGTGCCATTGTTACAATTGGATTTTAAAACATCTGAATATGAGAGAGAATTATTCTTTCCCTTCGAACCCCTCTGAGTCACATGCCAATTAATCAATATTACAACATACATATGGCCCACAAACAAATTTTAATTTAAATTTTCGGGAAGCAGGGAGGTATTTTGGTAGGGTTTCTATATTGTAAGCTATGTAAATCGTTCGACAAAGCACGCGGCTGGCAACTAATGAAGTGCATAATTTACAAACGATTACGATTCCCTTTGGCTGCCTTTGGCTCCGCTACCATTACCATTTGTCTGGGCACATTAAGTGATCAGAATTTGTTGCCTGAAACAGACAGAAACACTCGAAGCACCCACGTCAGCTCATATCTGTACTACTTAAGCCCAATAAAGATGTGCATATTTTTTAGGCAATTACCAAAAGTTGGCGTACGCCTTTGTACTGATGTAACGCAAGGCAAAGGGAATTATGATGTCGTTAATACAATTTCTATGCTGGCATGGTCGTACGGTAGTGCCTCGATAAAGGGGAAACCGGTTGGGAATATTATTAAAAATCCAATGCATCAGCATTTATAAGATTGCACCTTTTAGTGATAAGGAAATCCAACTTAAACGTTAAATGAATTTCGGCCTATTTTTAAGAGTCGCGAATTCTTAAGTCCCACGTTTTTCTTTAAAATTATGAAATTTTATATATCTACTGTAGTCCTTATCAGGGCCCTATATATTTCTCTATCCAACCTAAACTTTAAATAGTTTTCTGCCTGTTTTAAAGAGTCGCGAATTCTTTAGCCCCCTGTTTTCTTTAATAACATGCATTTTCATTATTAAGTGCATGCTTTCCTAATTGATTTAGTTTTATCCAATATCCACTGTAGTCTCCACCAGGCCTTTTATGTTTCACTACACGCATCCTAAATCAATTACGAAGAGCAGGACAACAGCAGATAAGAGCCATGTTCCCCATGATGTGCTTGCTAGTATCGCTTTGAACAATATCTATGGTTTTTGTCGGCTCTGTGTATAGAGATACCTGTAGCACCGTCTGGCTAAAGACCTTCGGGAAAAGAAAACCACAAGCTTGCAGACAGTTGATAGCAAATCTTGTGGGAGAGCGGAAAGTCACTTTCGAAGTGAAAGTGAATTAAAAATATTCTTGCAGAACGGATTTCGACAGCTAATCCTTTTAAAAAAGTTTGCCTAACTAATTGAGCACACAAATCAAATGGCGAACAAAACAGCATTAGGCCAAGAATAACAAAAGCAAGGAGACCAAGAAAAAAACGTAAAAACAAAGGCCAAACAATAACAAAGGCTAATTAAAACCATAACAAAGAACAGGCGACAAGGGAGCCAACGTTTTGGTGGGAGTAATTGAAAGTGGCAAGAGGTAGAGGGCAAAAGTTCCCAAAGCTGGAATTCAAAAATACCGCCAAAAGTTTGAAAGCTTAAACCAAAAGCTACGCCTTTTAGTCGTTAAACGGCGTTCATTTCCAGCTGTTTAAATTAAATATATCATGTTTTGTATTATTTGTTAAGACCCATTTACTTATACCAACCAAATAACAACACATGCTTTTCAATTTATCTTTGTTGAACATTTACTTGCAGACACATACATTCTTTTTTATCTTTTAACTTACATACGTTGCGTAATATTCAATGGATTTCTGCTAATTTGATTTACTTATAGGAGAACTTTACTAGTAAATACTGCAATAGCACTAAACAAAAATTCACTAACTTAAAAACAATTGATGGAAACATATGATGCAAAAGTTGTTTGGTAAGAGTAAGTTTAGAAAAAAATTAATCATGTAATAATAGGATAAACACAGATATTTTGTAGTAGACTTAAACATAGTGGATCGAGACCCAAAGTGGCAATCCGAAATTTATTTCTGGGCGGGCTTTTTCTTCTTCTTTCATTGCCGCGTTCAATTATAAAAACAATCATCGCGGTTTGTGTGTTTTACCTTTTGTTTCTGTCGTAGTTTATAAGTTACAATTAATGATTTCTCGGGTTGTTTTGGTTTCAGTTTGGGGAATAGCACATACATATAAATAAATATATATATATTCGCGACCGATCTGATCTCCCGACCAGCTTACGCCTCCTTCTTGTGCTTGAACTTGTTCTTGAGGAGACCGGGCAGCAAGGATGCGCAGGCGCAGAGCATCAGGACGCCCATCGAGGTCCAGGAGAAGGCCTCGCTCGAGCTGGTCATCTTCTGGAGCGTCTTGCCCGCCTGGATGGCGATCACCGAGGGCGGTGCCACGCCGCAGAAGGTGCCCAGTGCGAAGATGTGCAGCGGCACACCGATCACCGGCGATGCCAGGTTGATGAACCAGTTGGGCAGGATCGGGGTCATGCGCAGGAACAGCATGTAGTTGAACAGACTGTCCCGGTACTCCTCCACGTGCTTCGACCACTCGCTGGTCTTCTTGGGCCAAAAGTGCCGGATCAGGCGGCGTCCGACCAGATTGGAAAGTGTATAGCATAGGGTGGCGCCCAGCGCCGAGCAGAAACAGATGAGGAACAGGGCGATCGGGAACTTGTACAGGAATCCGAGTAGAATCGACAGAAACAGCGATCCGGGAATGGCGAATGTTTGCAGGCTATAAATGGGTTTCAAATGGGGTCAAGGCAACCAGTTGTAGGCGGTTCGATCTGAATAATACATAGCTGTATTTCTTTATACAGTGGCAGCTAACTTTGAAGTCTATTTAAATAATAATCGCTTCGAAAAAGAAAAACATTTTGTTAATTTGGTTTGCCCTGTTTATGCCCCAAATAAAAGAAAAAAATGGCTTTAGATAACATTTAAACTAAACCCTGATCTAGATAAGCACCGCAAACTTCTGTATACCAATTTTCATAGTTATGTTTTTTATAGATCTTGAAATCTTCCTGCTATAGTTAATAAAACTTTAAGGAAATCCAGAAACTTAGCTTCCTCGCAAATGGTTTTACTATCTGATTTCATAGCATGGTGCCATGTTCTCAAGCTCTGATTTTCTAGGGATCACTGTGCATGGGATCAAAGACAGATCGTACGACTAGTGGGACGCGTGCTCAAACGACTGTGGGCGGTTATTTATAAACGCAAAGAGTTGACAACGACACCCTCATCGCAGCAAAGACCCCGAGAATCCGGCAGAATCGTATCATCTGGCATCGGACCACGTATTCTACAAATGCCCGATAACAATTGCACGGGGGCCGTAAAAAATACTCATACACCCACATTGTACTTTGGCATGTGCTCTTCTCTTTTTTTGCCTTGGCTGGGGTCTAAAAACGCAATTGAATCAAAAAATAAAGAGCAGTAAACAGAAGGCACAAATCAAAACACTGACGACAACAAAATTGTGTCCAGCTCAGCTGATTTCTGCGTCTAAAACAGCAACAAACACAAAGAATGCGTCACTCGAGTGTCCAAAGTCGATTTTTTAGGTAGCTCATGCTACATACGTGCATTAAAGTGGACCGCATTTCATTGAGGAACCTAACACTCACAAAATAAATGAAATAAAAAAGTTTTATCATTTTTAAACTACAATATGCCTAAAAACATTTAAATTGAACTGAATTTCATATTAATTCAAAATTGTACATTAAATGGATCCACACTGCGTATGGGTTATCTTATTAACCATACGCCATGTGGCCAACTTTTATCTACGCTGCGCAGATTTAAAAATAAAAGTTGGGGTAATAAGTGATCATAAATCAATGGCCAGTCACTGCTTACTGAACAAAAAGAGTAAGCAGTAAACCAATGAACATCATTTACTTGGGGTACGTTTTGGGAGTCCAAACGACTTGGGTCCACCCCAGAGAGTGCAGGTAGTAAGTAAGAGCGAGAAGGCAACCTCAGCTGTTCTCTTGCTTCCTAGAGCCATCTCACTCGCACTTCCGAGTGCTGCCCACGTAATTAATATGCACACTATGCGCTCCGATCGGTGATCGTGAATTAATTAAGGTAGAAAAAACACACACACACGATTGTACGACTGACCGTGAATAGTTTTGTGGTGCGGGGTCTTCTTTTTTGGTAATCGGGTCAAGGTCACCGCCGGACAATAGAACTCTATTGGGTTTATCTAATCGGTAATTTTTTGTACTTTGATACCTCTGGCTTTGATTCTCGATTTTTGGTATGGGTATTTCCATTTGATAAAAGGATACAATACGTAGGCGACCACCACGCCGAACATCACTTCAAAATAGTACATGTCCTTGTAGCGATCAAGGACCTTGGCCAGCATCTTAGCATCTTGGATATCTCGCGGAATTTTCAAGTGTTGTTTTTCCGACCTGCGGAAGTCGGAAAAAAAAAGCGAGACGTGGTGTAAACATAGTATCTATATAGTATGGTATACAATATCGGTGGCGTGACTCGATGCGTGTGTATGTGGGTGTGCGAATAAACCCTCTCGCCAGATAGTACTGTAAATTTGGATATTTTCCAGTCAAGTCTAGCTATTTTCCTGGAGCTACATATACAGATATTTTATAAGTAGTATTTATAACTCTATGTGAAAACCCTTATCTTTACCCCCGAAAACGCCTCTGGAATGGAAGCAAACACACAATAGAAAGATAAGGGCTTCTATAATGTCGTAAAATATATCATAATTTGGTAACTATTGCAATTGCCTTATTATCACTATATCGCAAAACGGTAAATGACATGCTAACAAAAATTAAACAGACAAAAAAGACTGAAGACAAGAAAAATTGCACAACTTTATCAATACAATGAGTCTAGCAAGGGACCAAAAGCAAAAGATCGTTTTCCACCCCCTTTGGTTTGCTGAATAAATCTGATAACAAAAAGCTGACAGATTATGCGATGACTTGCTGATTCCATGCAAATCAAATTCCAATGGAGTGGGGGGAATTGGAAATCTAAAGAATATATAAACAAACATCTTGAACTTTCAACAAAATGATTTCTGATTATTCAAGACCCGGGCTGACTAAGACGATTTTCGAGGAGCAATCTTTAAACACAGAGCTTCAGCTACACAAATGTGTACTCTGTATAAACTGTATAAAACTAGGGAGTAATTTTCTTTGTTCTTTGATCCCATCTTGCAGATGGGATCTTTAAGATTTGTTCTATCCTTAGGATGTCTTGTTACTAACCATAGTTTTATACGATCTAGCTACTTTTAGCGAATCTTTAGCCCTCATCTCTGCTCTCAAATCAAGCGAGACAAACACACACTCGCACACACACCGAGCCCACTTAACACCTTAGAGGTGCACGAATGCGCTGGGGACACATCATCCGTGGCGCTTTAACCCCAGATAGACCCACTTACGCGTTGAGCTCGGGGAATATGGCGTACACATAGCACATGGTGGCCAGGCTGGCCACAAAAATGCCCGCCACGATGACCAGGGACTTTTTGGTGGCCTTCCTTTCGTCCGGGGACATGGCTTGTTTCTGCGGAGTGGCCTGTTGTTGCTGCTGCTGTTGCTGTTGTTGTTGTGGGTTAAGATCCTGTTGCTCCTGCTGCTGCACCTGTGGCAATAACGGAGCCACCTGATCCTGCGGCGTCTTGGTCCTGCCATTGCGCATAGTAATCCCCTTGTCGGTCATCGCTAAAAAAAAAAGGGGGAAAGATGAAACGGATTAAAAACTAGGGGTAGGCTAGAGGTTGCCCTAATCACCACCGACCGACTACGGGTTAATCGGCGTTGTTAGCTTCTCCAGCCAGCGCACTAACTACGGGTTAATCACCGTTCCTTCGCCCAGCTGATAAGCAACAACAACAAGAACAGCCAATACTCACCCACACCAGTGCAGCAAGACATTGCGGTTTTCAGTATGTCGTTTGTAAACCCGATTTGAAAACCTCTAAAACCGATTTATTTCACGATTGACTCATTTAGCGTCTAAGCAATTTATCAATTGTTATTGTTATTTGTGTGTGTATTTGCGCGCCACTAACAATTTGTTGTTGTTTTCCTCTCTATCCGCGTGCCAGGGCCTATGTGTGCGTGTGTGTGTTCTTGTGTGTCTCCACTGCAATGAATTTAATCAATAAACCAAAAAAAAATCGGGATGTTGGCTAACAGAGTGACAAACGCAATTGCCGTGAGCTACTGAATTCTCGGCGTCTTTTTATGTTTTTCTTTGTTTTTTGTGTTTGTTGTTAGCTCCGACCGAGTTTCGAGACGCGCGCTCACACTGCAGAATAATTTACTAATTTTTATTAATTTTGGGGATGTGAAAATATATCAAAATATCGATATATCGATATTTCGTGTTATCGTTATATTTTTTCACCAGATACATCGCAATTTTATTCAAATATATTTTTGAGGTTTTATAATAGGGTATTTTTATATACTACATTTCGCAGCGGTTGGCGAATTTTAGCACCAGCTGATTTCGAATTTTTATAAATTTTTATATATATAACTATACATTTCAGAACTAAAGTTCCATTGTTAGGAAATTAACTCTTTAAGTCACATACGTGTTCAATACTGTTAAATTTGAGTATTAAAATTCATTTAGCTTACTGTTTTCCTCATAAAAATAGTTAAGGAAGTAATTTAAATAAAAAAATGTCAAAAATACTCGCTATGTCGATATTTCTCGGGCCACGGTTGTATCTTTAGGCGATATACTAAAGTCTCTAGGTAAAAATATACCTTAAAGAATCCAGAAAAATATGCCGTATTCTGATTGAGTCTGGTCACACTATTCCAAATTGCGCTAAATTAGTTTTGTTTCAATTACGATACTAAATATAATGTTTTGATTGGAGAATTTAATAAATATTGCTTAATATAGCTCGTTATTTAATTGAGCTCAACAAGCTCCGCTTTCTTGGTATTAACAAATAGGAAAAACACTATATTTTATTATTTTTTTGTGAAAAAAATAGATTTAATAAGAATCCTATCCTTCAAACATTCTATACCGAAACTACTCATTAGTTTCAGTAAGTAACAAATGCATAAATGTAACATTAATGATTAAGTTTAAGGTTTGTTAGGGTAAAAAATAAGATTTACGTTATAAATCTAGTCTAAGTTCTTCAGGCATCCGCTGTCGTCTTGTTCTTGAGCTGACGGTAGAGTAGAACCATTTTATTGCGCTCGGATTCCAGCATGGATCTTGTGGCCAGTGGCAGATCCTTTCTCTTGCCCTTCATCTGCGCCTTTGTGGGCGTTTTAAAGGGACTCTTGGACTTGGCGGCCACCTTTGAGCGACTACTTTCATCCTGCTCCTGCTCGTTTGACTGAATTTTATCCGGATCTAGCATGGATTTGAGAAGGAGATTGGCCTTACGTCCTGGTCGTGGCACTGTCTCGCTTTTTTCCGCCTTGCGCGGCAGTGTTTTGATGGAAGGCGGTGCATGGACAATCTCCCCGAAGGCCACCACATCCCGTTTGTATTCCGTTGGTCCCGCATTTTGCTTCTCCTCCGAATCGACCTCTTGCTGGGCTTCCTTGTAGGCTCTTTTGACCAACTCCCGGCTGGTTTTGGCATCCAGAGAGGATTTTTGTACTATTTGAGTCTTCTTGCGACCCTTTTTGCCCGCCAAACGTTGCTCCTTTTGCTTCTGCTTGAGCAGTTCGTCAATCTCGTTCTTGGGCCTCTTTTGGACCGTAATCTCCCCGGTTTTGGGGTTCCTTAACACGTTCACCCCGTACTTGGCCTCGTAGTGGGCTTCCCGGACGGATGCACTGGTAATGCGGTTCACACGACGCAGGTAATCCTCGTCCGTCTCGTTAGCAAACTGCTTGATGTTCCGCGTTTCCTTGGAGGCGGCACTACCACCGGATTTAGCTCCTGGACCGGATTTCGGCCTATCCTCCCGGCCAATCTGACCCAGTTTCAGCTTCTTGCCCGCCTTGGTGGCATCGGCCAGCTTCTGGAACTGCCGAAACTTGAAGGACACCTGCTGCTCGTCCTTCCTCTCGGGCGGATTGTTGGTTACTTTGGAGAGTCTGCAATGTGGACACAAGTTTAGTTAGTTCGTCCCGACTGACTTTTCAATATGTGGCTACTTTTTCTCCTTCTGCTCCTGCTGCTTGAGGGGATCGCGGATGCCGTGGTGCTTGCGCACGGGAATCTTCCGCTTCCGAGCCATTGAATTAAAATTCAAATTTGTTCAAAATAAACTATTCAATCCAAAAAAACCAAACTCGTGGTTTTGGACCGCAGTGTCCCAAAATACCAATTGCGGAATGCTGGCGTGTACCAAAACATACCATAAAAATACCGAATAAAAATCACATTTAGCTCAGACAACAACCATTGGCGCCAAATAAGTGATATTTGAATATTTCAATTAAATGTTACATGGTTCACAGGAGTTTTATACCAGTACTCATACAGTAATACATGGTTCTTCAAAATTAGCCATCATAGTTAAAATAGCCTTTTAGTAGAAAATCTTTATTACTCAGCACAGATTTTGAGCTTTTTGAATACATTTTTAAATTAAAGTCTGTTAAAATATTTTTCGTTTTTTTTTAATACAAATTAAAAATGAGCCTTCAGTAGCTTTTTTGCGAGTTGTTTTTCTCAAACATATTTATACTTTATAGAACTCTCGTTTTTTCACATGTTTTAAGGTTTTAAATGTCTTTTAAATGTATTAAAAGCCGATTAGTTGGCTAAACATGAAATTCGTTTAAACCGTTTCAAAAAGAATACATTTTTTCAAATTTTGTTTTTCGTTTCTTAAGAACACATTAAATTTCTACAAAATGTTGTAGTAAGTACTTAGGCATGGTGTCTATTCTTTTGGAAGCCCTAACCTTAAGTTTTTATGTTTGTTAAGTATAGCTGTTCCTATAGCTAAACATATTTTTTGATAGTTCAAAAATGTTGTTAGAATGTATGGAGCTTTTTTCAGCATTATTAAAATTAATTGTGTTCTCTTTAAGGAACACAATAATTTTTTATCACTATAAATTCCAAAATTATAGTATGTATGATGTGCTAGTGAGTGTAACATCATTATCATCGCTGAAGTTCAGCAAGTAATCGTCGTTGATATCGTTAGTGGGAGAGTCGAATTCTAGAGATTGGTTATCCTCATTGCCCTCGTAATTGGTCGATAGAGACTTGAAAGGGTCGGGCTGAGGCTGGGCCATTGGGAACTCATCTTCCTCAAGTTTGAGGCGCTTGGGCGGCAGTGGTTCGTCCTTGTTCAGCTCCATAGTATTTGTTGAGAGCAGTCTAGAAGTGAAGCGGCTGCGAATGCCGCTGGAGGTGCTGGGTATATTGTCGCCATCCTCCGAAGTTTGGATCGACGGGATAGCCTCCACGCTAAGTATTTCCGGCTTTTCGCGGTTGGCGGCCATGTTGTCATTAAAGAAAGCGTCCAGCTGAGCATCTGATTCAGTTGTTGGTAGCTCCTGTTGCTTTGGAGTTATACCGTCATCTATTTGGCCGGCTACCATACCCGACTCTTCCTCAACTGATGCCTCCCCACCAGATCCCTTGTCGTCTGATCCGGATTCCTCCATTTCTGATCCCATCTTCTCTTCATACTCCTTCTGCTCGAGAACCAACAGCTTCTCTTTTGGTTTCTTCACTTGTGCATCCTCTCCAAGTCCTTCGTCTTCTATCTCCAGTTCGTCTTCCGAATATTCCTCGGATTCGTCATCTGAATCCACCTCTATCTCATCATCATCCGCTTCTTCCAGTTCTTCCTCTGATACCTCCTCCTCCTCATCCGATGACTCCTCGACTTCTTCTTCTTCTAGCTCTTCAGGCTCTCCTGAATCGGATGGCCAGCCCTGATCATCTACTTCCATCTCCCTTATCTGGATTAGCTCCGGAGAAGCAGCAAAGCGCACTTGCTTTGACTCCAAGCTAGAGAAGAAAGCAGGATCCGCTTCCTCGCGATTGACCAATATGGACCGTATCGGTGTCTCCACCTCCTGAGTCATGTCCTGCTCACTCTCCTTGCTTTCGTCGGTCTCCTCGACTTCATTGTCATTCTGTGTGGGCTTCTCAAACAGAAGGTTCTTGAGAAAGTTCACAGTCGAATCAGTAGATGGATTTACCGGAAGCTGTGAAACCTCGGATTTCATGTCAAACGCATTTTTTTCAGCAACACGCCATTCAGGGCTGAATTTATTATGAAGTAAGTCCATTTTTTCGAACTGAAAAACGGAAAAAATAATTTAAAAATTCGGTATAAAAGCTGTATCAGTCACATTTTGGTTTTAGGAGATATAATTTACTAAACATTTGGCCACTTGCCAAGTACCTACCATTGCGTGCATTTCATTGATCTGCTGACTTAGCTGAACAATGCTGACTATCTTCTTGTTACGATTGTCATTCAGATCACCGATCGTAATCGTCCACTCGTAATCCAAGTTGAGTAGTTCTTGATCCATTTCGTCTACAATCTGGTCGGTCTCTATTTTGCCCTTCAGCTCCACGCGCGTTTCCTTAACTGGGAATCAAAATATGTACAATGTATGAGAATCATTAAAAAATTAATTTAAACAATTATCTAGTAATATTTATAGGCTTGTGACCCTCGGCGCGATTTCAGAAGGCTAACCAATGGTTTTTATTTAAAAGCGAGAAAAAGAAAGACTTTCTCTCTGCAACTGATATAGATATGTAGATGCACAAATGCCTTGTGAGTCGGAGGGGTTTGGATCTTACCTATATCGCGATCTTCGAGAATGGCGTTCTGCTCTTCCTCGTGGGCAGCTAGGTCTGCGAGGACCGCCATTTTTTGCTCGGCCTCGTGTTCTTTGCGCTGGACCGTGTAGTAGAGAATGTTCTGGAGACCGGCGTCCTCCAGCAACTGCTCCATCTGCATGATCTGGCCGATACAGTTCTGTACCATGGTATTTGCCTTATTCTTATCATCCGCAGCCTTCTTTAGATTGACGGAGCCCTGCTTAGCCAGCATCGTGTCAATCATCAGCTCCTCCAATTTCGGGCGAATGGCTGCGACAAGTAGAAACATGTTGAGATCGCTCACCTGTTTTGGGCTTTTCTTGCACTTACTCTCCTCCTCTTTTCGCATTTCGGCTCCCCTTTTGAGCTCCCCCTCGAGCTGCTCCATTTTATCACTTTTTTGCCATTTTTGGCCAAGAAACTCGATGGCACGCGGATATTTTTCCATTTTCGGTCCGTCGCTTGTTCTTTTCTCGCTACTTTTTTCAAGTTTGCGCGTTTTTCGATTGGCAATGAAGCCTATCGACTTTGCAGTCAGTGTTGGAAGATGCGTAATGAGTGCTAAACATCGTTATGTACAAAGTACAACAAATATAAAATTATTCCGTTTTATAAAAAAAAAAGGGTTACAAATAAATATTTTAAGCATGAATTAAGCTGAGTATGATGTCAGACAACTCCCTCTCATTGCTCCATACACAATAAAAAACAACGTTGTGAAAAGGATTTCTAATATTACAAACTAACCAATACAAAAAAGACATATCAGCTAAGTTCTGCTTAAGAGCTTTTTTTAAGTTTTTAATTAGATCTACAAGTGGATATAATTATTTCGTTATAAAAACCGTTAATTAATACATTTCCTTTTTTAAATGTTCCCTGTAGAATGGTCCATCTCTAAGTAGTGTTGGAAAACGCCCTCCGAAAATCAGCTGTGAGCGGTGCTTGTAAAAAAAACTGTCAGCTTCACATAACATCAGAGCAAATTTTCAGCCTTTTCATTATTTTGGAAACGCCAGAATGCTGACGAACTGTGCCTCCAAGACGCTGGCCGCTGTGGTGAGTAGTAAAGCCACCAAAATAGGCATTAAATTGGCCAGAAAGGGCAGCGGGCCTGCCTGTGCCCACCTTGGTTATATAATTTGTGCCAGGAAAACAATAACATTAAGGATATTGCTATTACTTGCAGCGCGCCAACATCCGGGCAATCGCCACCAGCAGTGCCCGGGCCAGCGAAAATCTCTTCGTGCACCGCGACACGCCCGAGGATAATCCCAACATCCCGTTCGAGTTCACGCCGGAGAACAAGAAGCGCGTGGAGGCCATTCTCAGCATCTATCCGGAGGGCCACAAGCGCGGCGCCATGATCCCGCTGCTCGATCTGGCCCAGCGCCAGTACGGCTGGCTGCCCATCTCCGCCATGCACAAGGTGGCCGAGATCCTACAGCTGCCCAATATGCGCGTCTATGAGGTGGCCACCTTCTATACAATGTTCATGCGCAAGCCCACCGGCAAGTACCACATCCAGGTGTGCACAACCACGCCCTGCTGGCTGCGCGGCTCGGACGACATCCTGGAGACCTGCAAGAAGCAGCTAAACATCGGCGTCGGCGACACCACCAAGGACAGGAAGTTCACCATCTCGGAGGTGGAGTGCTTGGGCGCCTGCGTCAATGCGCCGATGGTGGCGATCAACGATGATTACTATGTAAGCACTCCCTGGCCTGAGTTCCCAGGTCCCCTCACATCCTCATCGAAAATGTCATCTCAAGCTTTTATTTTGGCAAAATATTATTTTTTTATATGCCTTTCACGAGTTGCGTTCCCCTTTTTATTTATGTTCCCTTTCATGGATGATACCTATCCTATCTCTTTTTTTTATCCCAGAAGTTCCACTTACATATACACACACATAAAAACAAGTCTTTGCTTTTATTTCGAACTTTTGAATTTTAATGGCCATAATTTAGAGAGTCGAGGCTTCTACTTTATACATACATTTGAATTTGCCATAATTTGCATATCTTTTATTTTAGAAACAATCTTAAATGGGTGTTTTAGTGTTTCTAACAAATAACTTAATTTAATTGAAATATTCATTACCATCTGGTGTTATGGAATCCGCGGTCGAGAGACAACCGTTAAGGAAAGCCAAATCTATGTATTTTAATGAACGTTCTTTCGCTTTGCAGGAGGATCTGACCGCCAAGGACATGCAGGACATTTTGAACGACCTGAAGGCGGATAAGATCTCGCCCCCTGGTCCCCGCAACGGTCGCTTTGCTAGCGAGCCGAAGGGCGAGCCCACTTCCCTGAGCGAGGAGCCCACTGGTCCCGGCTTCGGCCTGCAGGCCGGCCTCTAAAAGACCAGCAATGAGCAGAACCTATCACTGATTGTCGAACGAAAGTTAAATAAATATTAAGCAACTCTTAGAGGTCATTGATAAGTGATTTTTGATTTCTTTCGGGAAGCTCTGTTTAAATACGAGATAGGTATACTTTCTTTAAAAAGCTTTGCAAAGAAAGAACAATATTTTTTTGTATTAAAATTTAGTTAGTACTAAGAAGAAACCTCCGAGTTGTTTCTAAAAGCTTTGTTTTGAATTCAGCCTAAATATATAAAGTTTTAATGATTTTATTTCGCATGTCGCCAAAAACCCCCAAAAATCTGCAGTTTGAGTGCATTTTTGACATCGTTTACATATATTTATTATTCTTTATCATACTGGAGGCTTCTGCGCTCCTTGCTAATTATTATGTAGTTACTTTGTGTACACTATTGCATACATATTATGAATGGAGACGATCGGGAAGAATAGTTAAGAGGCTATTTGCAGCTGTGGCAATTGCTTGCGAAGAACACAATTTACTCGAAAGACAAAACTTAGGATACAAATGTTAGACTTCGGCTTATGTGAAAAAATGTATGTGTTTAGGTCTAGGTTTACATTGCTTACAATCTACGCTGGCTGAGTGCAGCACAACCAGATATAATACTACATATATTCCGTGCTGCAATCAAGCGCCTGACCGACCTCTCACTTAAATGCTAGATAGATCTGTATTTCAGTATTTTGTAATGTGTTGCATGTGCATGTGTATGGATTGGATTGTGTCCGCTGTTTCTTGACAGGATTTCGTGTATGCAATGAATTTCGGTTCGCGGTCCAACTGCTCCTCGACTCCTGGCCCCTCCATCTGCCGCGACACTCCACGTACACCGCCTGCGTGTGTCCAAATCGGGAATCGCAAGTAAGAGTTAGCGTTTTCAAAATCGATTCGCAAAATAACTCTTCGGTTGCATTTTGGTTGTAAAAATTACAAGCAAGAGTTATTTGTCCATTTTGAAAACGCCGAGTGTTATTTGAAGATTCCGCCTTAAACCAATGCCGAAAAAAAAATGTAAAGTGTACTAAAATCCTATTTTAGTGGCGCCTCCGCCGACGACCACTGGGAGGGGGCGGGGCCGCTGCCTTTCCTCAGTCCTCGCCGTAAAATACGCTGCAAGTAAGGGTGATATTAATAGGTCGATTTAGTTCTTTTACCAACTACAAAAAAAGTAATAAAGAAATAGGACACAGAAGATATTGAATATTTACAAAATAAAATGAGCAATGAGTAGAGTACTCTCGACTTAATTTTCAGAAAAAGTTATGTTCTTTGAAAGTATCTATATCTACTGTCACGAAACTAAGAAAGATAAATTATAAATTTCTTTTAAATATACAAAACTTGTAATTTTTTAAATACTAGAACATTTTCAAAAAGGTTTGAAAATAAAAGGAATTTCAACTAAAAATTACTTTAGAGCTGTGGCATATTCTAACCTTATTTTGTATATAGAGATATTAAACGCACCGGTTCTTGGCGGCAGCCCGCTTCGAGGAGCGCTCAATGCGATTGTGAATATTTGTCCTCGGGTAATATTCGTTGACGAGGCGCTTGGTCTTCTTGGGCGATTCGCGCAGCTCCTTGGTCTCCACGTTCTTCTGCGTGACCAGGTCGCGCTTGAACTTCTCGATCAAGCCCTCGCAGGAGAGGTTCGACTCCGGCTCCCAGGTGTCGTCCTTGGCACCGAAGCCCTTCCATCTGATGCGGTACAGTCCACCCTCTGCGTTGTCCACAAAGTCAACAATGCGCTCGACAACCCATTCCTTTTCAGGATCAGATGGGCCAGCAGTCGACTTCTTTGCGGCTCCGGGCGGGCGACCACGTCCGCCGGCTCCTGCTTTCTTGCCGGCTTTCGGGGACTTGCTGGGCTTAGGCTTGGCGTCCTGCTGAAAAGTGGAGCAAAAATAAGTTAGACATAAGAAAATTTCAATAAATCATATCATCATATCAACTCATCTAACTTATTTTGTAAATGATGTGTGTAGTTTAGGTTTTACTTACCTTAGCCCGAAATTGGTCTAGCAAGTAGTCGCAGCTAAGATCTGCCTCCAGCATCCATGTGTCCTCGGCCTTGGTGTAGCCCTTCCAGCGAACCTGAAAGTAGGTAGCGCCCTTCACCGTCTTTTGGCCCACGATGGCCTCCACCTGGAAGAGATTGTGGTTACCTTATTAGATTGTCTGATCAGAACAGCCTTTGCTCATGTCTTAAGAACTTACAAAGATTGGGATAACAGAAAGATTTTTAAAGATAATCGTGTCTGTAAAAAGGTAACTTGTCACTTGATAGAATGATTAAATCCAATTCCAATTAACCATTTGGATAAATAATTGAAGCTAACCGAACCGAACCTTTTAAACAGCTTATTTTTTGAAAAATACCTTTTAAGACAACTACAATTTTCAAAAACTGTATAAACTTGTTTGGAATCTGACAGTTCGGTCGGTATTGTATGTATGTTTCATTATGGGGAAGCCCACCATTTTGAACCAATTGGAACATGGATGCATTGTTCCAAAAACTGTACCAATTGTTTAAAAAACGTTCAAGGGATAAAGGTTCCGTCGTCCAATCGGCACATAGATGCCCTGTTTGGAGCAGCTTAAAAACCTTATAAAGGATTAAAAACTAGATTCTAGGACCCACCTCGTACTCTACTTCTGCTTCCGGCTCGGCGTCGCTTTTGACCGGGTCGGCATCGTCCTCCAGATCCTCTGGAGCGGGCTTCTTGCCATTTTTGGCGGCAGGAGCGGGGTTGGCCTTGGGCTTGCCCAGATTGCGCTTCTTGGGCGCCGACGGTCCACCAGCGGCGGCCGAGGAGGTGGAAGTGGACACCTTGTTACCATTTGAGTTTAGGGGCAGATCGTCGCTGTCCTCCGACTCCGAGCGCACAGTGGTCGACGGGCGCGCCTTGCGCTTGTTTGGCGGCTTCTTCGAGGTTGAGGCAGCTGTGGAGTGTGAGACCGAGGAGCCGGTGTCCCCATTGGAGCCGGCGATGTCCTTCTCCTCGTTATCGCTTTCCGGGGCGGTACCGTTTTTGCGCGACTCGAGCTTCTTGCGGCTCAGCTCCTCGACCACCTTCTTTTTGCCCGGCTTGACCATGTTGCGTCCGGGGTTGTCCGGTTGTGTGGCTTGCGATTCGATGGCGTTTCCGGCCGGGGTTGGATCTGACTGTTGTTTACTCTGACCGTTTCGTTTGCCGCGTACCTGCAAAACAAAATTCCGAGTTTTTCGACGACTGGACTGTACACACTTGACAGCGTTGCCAGATAGTGTGACGGCTTTTTGTATTAAAATATACCGACGATTTTCCACACGAACGGTCACGCTAAAATGACAGGTGGGTGTATTCGCTAATATAGCAGAGACACCCAACTCGCACAACGAATGCACGCCGATAAATCGATTTCACAATCGATATCAGTTCCATTTCTGTTACCAACCGCGTGCGATTTTCAACCGAATCCGGAGGATCTATCCATTTTGGCTAGTAAACAGAGGGAATGCAGCGCCAGAAACCCAAGGGACCGGGCAAGCCAGGTCCACGATTCAAGCCTGGCTCGGGCAAGGGCAAGGGAGCCCCCGGTGGCCGGGGGAGCGGCGACAACAAGCTGAAGCGTCCGCGCCAGGAGTTCAACAAATCCCGACTAGCCGCCACCGATGCAGAGATCCAAGAACTTAAGGCCAAGTACGCGGAGATAGATGCGCCGGCCATCAAGAAGTTCGCACAGTTCCCGCTGTCCAAGAAGACCCAAAAGGCGCTGGCGGAGTCCAAGTTCGTGCATCCCACGCAGGTGCAGCGGGAGAGCATTGGACCCGCCCTGCTGGGCAAGGATGTGCTGGGTGCGGCGGTCACAGGAAGTGGCAAGACATTGGCCTTCCTCATACCCGTAAGTTGGTAACCTCCCTGGTTTCCTCCGCTAAACTTTAGTAAGCCAATACCCCACTCTCTCTTGCAGGTTCTGGAGCACCTGTTCATAAACAAATGGTCGCGCACCGATGGCGTGGGCGCCATCATCATCTCGCCCACCCGCGAGCTGGCCTACCAGATCTTCGAGACTCTGAAGAAGGTGGGCAAGCATCACGACTTCTCCGCCGGCCTCATCATCGGCGGCAAGAACCTGAAGTTCGAGCGGACTCGCATGGACCAGTGCAACATACTGATCTGCACACCCGGCCGCCTGCTGCAGCACATGGACGAGAATCCGCTCTTCAACACGAGCACCATGGAGGTGTTGGTCCTGGACGAAGCCGATCGCTGTTTGGACATGGGTTTCCAGAAGACACTCAACTCTATCATTGAAAATTTCCCACCCGTACGACAAACGTTGCTCTTCTCGGCCACGCAAACGAATACGGTGCAGGATTTGGCGAGGCTTAACCTAAAGGATCCAGTCTACGTCGGCTACGGAGGAGCGACGCCTGGCGAGGAACCCTCCGGCTCCAAAAAGAGCGGTCCGAGCACCGCTGTCTTGGCCGTGCCCGAGCTCCTGCAGCAGAGCTATGTGGTGCTGAACCTCGAGGACAAGATCACCATGCTGTGGTCGTTCATCAAGAACCATCTGAAGCAGAAGATCATTGTGTTTGTGTCCAGTTGCAAGCAGGCCAAATATCTGTACGAGATCTTCTGCAAACTGCGTCCGGGTAGCCCGCTGCTGGCCCTATACGGAACCCTCCATCAGGATCGTCGCATTGCCATCTACGAGGACTTCCTTCGCAAGAGCCACGTTGTGATGTTCTCTACGGATGTGGCATCGCGTGGCCTGGACTTTCCGGCCGTCAATTGGGTGGTGCAGTTGGACTGCCCGGAGGATGTCTCGCAGTATATTCACCGAGCGGGTCGCTCTGCGCGAAACAAGACACGCGGTGAGTGCCTTCTTGTGCTGACACCCAGCGAGGAGGAGTACATGATTGGTGCCCTCAAGGAGCAGTTGAATATTAACATCCGTTGTGTGCAAATCGATCCCAAGAAGCTCTTCTCGCCGCGCGTCAAGATCGAGGCCTTCCTGGCCCAATTTCCCGAGCTAAGGGCCACCGCCCAGCGTGCCTTCCTCTCCTACATAAAATCCGTGTTCCTGATGCGCAACAAGCGATTGTTCAATGTCTTCAGCCTGGATCTGGATGCATTTGCTCAATCGCTGGGTCTAGCGGTTACGCCGCGCGTTCCGTTCCTTGAAAAATTCCTTTGGCGGCAGAAGCTGCAGCAGCAGCAGAAGGAACAGGGCGATGCCCCACCAGCTGCCAATCCAGTGCTTACCAAGATGACCAAACAACAGAGCTTTGGTGGCGGTGAAGAGGATGAAGATGAAAGCGATGACGAAGACTTTATCAAGGTGAAACGTAAGGATCACGAAGTCGAAGGAGGACCAGTGGAACTGGATGAGGTCGAGGATAAGGAGGATGAGCCAGAGGGCCCACTTGTGGTGCCCAAGCGGGAGAAGCTAGTCACCAAGGCGTCGCTGGCCAAGAAGGCGCTGAAGAAGAACCTGCAGGTCAACTCCAAGCTCAAGTTCGATGACGAGGGCGAAACGATGGCCGATGATCGCAACCAAATGAAGGCTCTGAGTGCCAGACAGCGAGCGGAGAACCAGGACGACGACGACGACGGAGGTATCAATCTGGTGCTCTCCAAGGCACTGCTGACCGAGGAGGATCAGTATGACAAGCAGCGATTCCGGGAGCTGGTCAAGAAGCGACACAAGCTGCAGCGCGAGAAGCTGCGCAAGAAGACGGAGGAGGCCAAGGGCAGCGATGAGGAAGACGAGGAGGAGGAGGACCAGGATGCCGAAGATGCCGGCAGCGAGAGTGACCATTCAGTGGACCTCTCCTGGCTGCCAGATCCCGACAAGGTCTACAAAAATAAGGCGAGCAAATCTGATCGAAGTGCAGAAGCGCATTCGGATTCTGAGGCGGAGACAGGCGATGATGCAACCGACGATGATGCGGAAGTGGACGACGACGACGAAGAGGTCTCCGACGATGAGCCTGCCTACAAAAAGTCGAAGCTAACGAATAAGATGACTCTGATGGACACGGAGGCCATTGCGGCCAGCCTTCTGGGTAGCTAAGTTAGGGCCTCGTCTGAGTGAATAAATTAATGCCAATTATTTTTAAATAATAATTTGTAATTTAATAGAAACTGGTTTTATTTTTAAGTCAATTTATCGCTTGTTTATTAGTTGGTGATAATTGAAAGCAACTGATTTCCATAGCGACAAAAAAAAGAGTTTTGAAATTGAAAAAAAATAAGATTTGAATTTCTTTTTCTATATAGGCAGATTCAAAATTTATTATAAGGCAATGCATAAAATCTCATTGAAAGGCTGTCCACGTAGTGACGAAGCACACCATTGGTTTTCAGTGTACACATAGTATGGATTATTTGTAGTTTTGGGATCAAATGCCGAACTTGTCTAATCTATGACTAGATTTTGACGGTGAAACATTGTTCTTGGATGCGTTGCTATCTCGAGAGAAATATATATGTACATTGTATTGTATACTAGAAAAATTCTCTGAATTGAACTTAGTTTCGTTTGAAGTCGAATACGCCAAGCACGTTTAAAATATTGAAGTCGTGGTGTCGTTTCTAGTTCAGAAATATCAGAGGTAAGGCTAGTCTTCTAAATATAAAAAGAATTCACATTAAAAGCCTATCTCAACAGGATCTCAAAGAGGACCTAAAAAATAACAAACTGAACCACCTGAAAGATAAAATTAATTTACCAAATGAGGATATTTAAGACTTTTAAGCGACGGGTGTTAATTGCCATTAAAAGGATGGAGAATAGGGTTTGGCACCTGGATGCACTTTGCAGATCATGGGAACTACGATTTAGACCCTCTGTTCCTTGCCAATACGATTCTACCTCGCTTCCAACTTTGAAATCACAACCATCGTATTGGACAGCGATTATTACGATGAATTTGATTTCAAACTTAGCAGCGATGAAAAATCGTATGAGCTAAAACCCGGGTGCTAGAATTTGGTCTAGCCGACCTAGACCTTGTATGTCTTATAAGGAATTCAAGGTTCAGCCCATATGGATTTTATTATCAATAAGCTTCCAATTTTTTTTAGAAGTTCACTATAGACGTAGCTCCAAATTTATCCCAGTAAATATTTTATATTCTCACTGGGATTTTGGGAGCACATTTTTGTGTTTCGAGTAGTAGATAAATTTCGAATTATACCATAGACTTATCATCCAATTTATCCCGGAGCACACCCCCAGTAAAAAGTCGTTTTCCAAATGCTTCACAAATATTTGGAAAATGCCCACAAATTTATTTTTGTTTTGTTTGATTTGATTTCATTATCATTTCTTCCCTCGTCTCTTGGTTGTGGCGCCTCCACATCGCTGCCAGCCCATTGGATGGAGTCCGGGAGCAGTGGCCGCCATCTGACATGGAGGATCCATGGATCCATGGATCCGGGATCCAGAATCCAAAATCCAGAATCCCGATTCCGGAGCGTGGGAGTGAGAGGTGGAACTGGGCGAGCGGGACGGGGAGAGTCGCTGCATTCCGCGCGGGAAGAGGGCTTCGTTCTGGGGGAAATCCCCTTTTCATTAAAAAGGGGGCGTGGCTGCTTGGCATGGGCGTGGCATAAAATTTGCTTTTAAAAATATCATTACACATCACGTCAATTACAATTTTTTTGTTCGTTTTGTTTTGCATTTTTTTTTGTTTTGTTTCGTTTAGACATATTTGCTTGGTTTTTGTTTAGTTTTTGTTTTTTTTTTTCAGTTTAGCGTATATAAATAAATGCATACACATATATACGGTAATATATAGACGGTATATATATGTACGTGTACAAATAATGCAATAGACACACATCTATACAAATTATACTATATAATGGTTAAGTTTTTCTCTTCTTTTTCTCTCGTTACTTGTTTTAGATTTTATGTTGAGTGCTTATTTTTCTGTTTTTTTTTTGGCAACAGATTTCGCGTTATTTTCCTTTCCTTTAAGTTTGAGGTCCGTTTCAGACACAAGATACACAATTACATAATTAAGTTTCGGTTTTGTTCGGTTTATATAAAAAATTAATGCTCAATTACAAGGAATAACACTTAGGCGTATGTTGTCTACAATTTTTTACGTCTGTGCTTCGTTTGCCTCTGCCTGTTGTCAATATTACTTTCCCTTTCTCCTGCTTACCTTCCAGATACCAAGATATCAAGATATCATGTCTGCTCCTCGCTTTTAGTTAAAATATATGCGTACATGGGTAGAAATGGTATAATTTGTTGTTTCGCTAATTTGATACAGTACACACACACATTTTGTTTGGTTTTTGTTTTTGAGAGACAGATAGAGAGTATTACATTAAGGATTATATGCCTGGCTAATGCAAATATCAATTAGACAATCAGTGGAGATTCTTGAGTGTGGGGGGAAATTTGAGTTTTATTTCTTCGTTTTTCGTTTTTGTGGGAGATTTCCTTTGCCGTTTCCGTAGTAATTATCATTTTTTGCTTATATGGTAGCTATATAATTATATAGTGTATATCTAGTTGGATGACAAACATACATATACAGACACACACACTGAGATGCACATTTAGTTTAGCTCGAAAATTAGATTTTGCTCGGTTGTTCTTATGGGTATTTTTTCTTTTATAGGGGGTTTTCCATTTTCTTATCGGTTGTGCTTTAGCCCTAAGCCTCCTCATCATCGTCACATCGTCCTGCTGCTCCTCTACTTTCTCCTATACTAGACACACAGACATTTAGTGGTATTTAAATATATATATATATTGTATATCTAGCATTATCGCTATTGTGTTTATATGGAAATTTGTTTGCTGATCGCGCATTATTTTTAACATACAATTACAATTACATTTATAACATACACAGATACACAGTAAATTTTATTTAACCATCTTCATACTAGATATCGTCTCCCCAAGCTTTCCATCTATATCTTGGTTTTGCTTTTTGTTTTTTTTGTTTTGTTTTTTGTGCGTTGTCGTTGGCGCCCCCGCCCCGCCCCTTTTTGATAGGGGGAGGGTGTTCGGGTTGGGGGGTCAAAGGAGTACAAGGGGTGACCAAGGGGCGGGGTGTGGGGGGCGGCGAGGGGAGGTCTCACTCAATGGATTCAACGACAAAGGACGCACCACACAGAGAAAATACTTGACGCGTTTACATATATCACGGAAACACAACAAAGCCATCGATACAAAATATATATTGTATATATAAAAAATAAATATACCCTACTTAGCCAAGTTCTGTTCTCTCGCTCGCTCGCACACACAATCACGAATCACGAATCTCACACACTGCACACAATAGACCCAAGTATATTATATACTATTATAAATATGTATATGCCTGGCTGCTGATCCTCATTTGAATGAATCGATCGATCGATGGGCTGCCTCCTGCTAACGCCTCCTGCCTCCTTTCTCCTCCTCCTTTCTCCTTCCTATGGCTATTACTAATATGCTCCTTAGATCAACACCCAAAAAACACAAAGCACACATGGCACACTGGCGCCCACATTCATACACACAACGCACATTGAATCTAACTATCTCGTTTTGGCTTCGCGTCCGGCGGTCAAGTGAAAGTCCAATGCTGCCATGGCCATGGCCTGGCGGGGATCTAGGCCTAGACCATGACAAAGGCGTCCTTGCCGCAGAACAGATACGGGAACTGGTCGATCATGGTCTGGACAATGTCCTCCAGATACGGACGCAGCTGCTCGAAGTGGCCCATGTCGGTGAAGTCGATGGGAATGAGTGTGGGCCACCAGCAGATGGCCAGGTTCTTGCTGTCCATGCTGTTTAGCTTCGAGTTGTCCGAGACGCTGTGGGTAATAATGGTAATATTAGAGTAAGTATCAGAGTATCAGTATCAATGGCATTTCCCCGGAACTTACTGCACAAAGTGCTGGAATATGTATTTGAGTATGGCAAAGTTGATGGGCGGCAGCTTTTGGAGCAGCGATTTTAAAGCTATCAAGCGGCAACTCCGGTCCGTTTTGACCTCCACATTCAGCTTGGAGTTGCCCACGCCGCGGGAACCTGCAAGCAGGAAGGAAAACAAGTGAAATGGGACCGAAGGAAGTGCATCCTGGCTGCTATATATACCGGCAATCTCCTCCAGCTCCTTGATAATGTCCTTGCTGAACAGCGGCGGCAGGCGCTTGGAGAAGAAGTCCTTCAGTGCGGTGGCCACTGCGTTGACGGGAATGTCCAGCGCATCGATCTCAGTTTTGGTATCTGTACACGATTCACAGGATGTTAATAATATGCCTACATACATGTGGCACCATATCTTACCCTCTTCGAATCGCTGGAACAGCATGTCCACGTGCGCCCTGCTCCCCGGCACCCTGTAGATGCCCTCGGAATCCAGGCCCTCCTTCTCGATGAACTCCACGCACTTGTTGAGGAAGATGGGGATCTCGCCCTGCTCGGAGCTAATCATCAGCTTGCCAAACTGCGCCTCCGCCGACTCCACCAGGCCCTTGGAATTCTGCTTGAGCTTACGCTTGAGCTTCTTCTCCTGCTCCTTCTCCTTCTCCTGGAGCTTACGCAGCCGGGCCGTCTCCTCCTTGAGGCGCCGCTTCTCCAGCTTCTCCAACTTCTCGTACTCCTTCAAGCACTTGGCGCTGTATTCGGGCAAGTTCTCCGTGCCGAAGATGCCGGCAGCCGCCAGTTCCGGCACCATGGAATACTGCTTGGTTTAATGGGAGGATGATCAGGTTAAGTTAACAAAAAACAGGTAAGCATATCGAGAAGGACTCACCTCCGGCGACTTGTCGCTCTTCATGAAATCGGGAACACAAGGTTCGGGTTTCTCTGTGGAAATTCCAAGGAAATACAATAAGTTAGCAGGGGAACAAGTGCTCCTTAGGGGTTTCTATAAATATCTATTTAATAATTTAACATATTAAAGGAAAATATGGGTTTGAGGAATAGATACAGACAAGTTGTCCTGGAAAGAAGACTACAAAATAAAAGCAAAGATCACGACACATACTTTTCTCACCTGGCCCGCCGCCGCCAACGACCATGCGCTGGTAGTGCAGCGGAATCTCCGGCGGACTCACATAGGAGCCGAACGGAGGAACTCGCGGCGTCTGCACCGGGA